AGGGATATACTTTCAGATCTCAATAATTAGCCTGAATGTGAGTGGCTTAAATGCACCACTGGAAAGACATAGAATGGCAAATTGGATAAAATATGATGCAAAAATATGTTGTTTCCAGGGGACTCATCTCACCAGAAAGGACACTTACAGACTCTACGAGGATGGAAAACAAATTTTCAGGTGAATGGAACACAAAAGAAAGCAGGAATTGTGATCTTAATATCAGACAAAATACCCTTTAAGCTATCAAAAATTTAAAAAGATATGGAAGGCCACTACATAATGATAAAAGGTTCAATCCATCAACAAGAAATATCCATGCTAAACATATATGCACCAATATAGGAGCATCAACTTTCTTTTTTTTTAATTTTAAAGATGTGGTGTACAATTCAGGGTTAGGTATACAAATGTTCATTATACAGGTAGCCTAACCGATGACATGTGCTCCTCCCTCCCCTAGCAGTTTCCCTTCAACTGCCAATCACACCCCTCCTCCCCTGGCAGTTTCACACTACTGCCAATCCCTTACTTATCGTATTATGATAATTGTTCAAGGTCTGCTTATAAGTGAGAACATATGGTACTCTGTTCTTTGTTTCTGTGATAGATCACTGAGTATGATCGACTCTAAATTCATCCAAGTTCCTATGAAGTCCATATGTTTGTCTTCTTTATGACTGTATAATATTCCATTGTGTATATGTACCATATTTCTTTAATCCAGTCTACAACCTAGACAGATCATCAAGACAAAAATATCAACAAGCAGATCCAGAACCTCAATATGATGCTTGTCCAAATGCATTTAACAGATACCTACAGAACACTCCACCCAACAACCACAGAATATATATTTTACTCATCACCACATGGAACCTACTCTAATATTGACCACATCCTTGGCCATAAATCAAGCATAAACAAATTCCATAAGATTGAAATACTGCCATGCACCTTCTTAGTAGATTAAAAATAAATATCAACACCAACAAAGCTCCCCCCCAAACTGCAAAGACATGGACACTAAATAGCATGATGCTGAACAACTCCCAGGTCAACACAGAAATCAAAATAAAAATTAAAGGATTCCTGGAAACAAATGAAAATGAGGAAAAATTTAATCAAAATCTGTGGGATGCTCTGAAAGCAATACTAAGAGGGGAAGCCATATCTGTACAAACACATAAGAAGAAAATGTTAGGTGGTTTGTTAACCACCTTACAAACCACCTAAGGAAGCTGGAAAAGCAAGACCACCAAAACTCTAAGTTCAGCAGAAGAATCCATATCACCAAAACAGAAGCCCAAATTCAGGACATAAAAGACAAAAGTATAATACAAAAAATCAACAAAACAAAAAAGCTGGTTCTTTGAATGGATAAACAAGATTGATGTACCCCTAGGTAGGCAGACCAAGAAAAAGAGAGAAAAAGCAAAAATAACACAAATGCAAAAGATCAAGTCACAACTGACCCCAAAGAGATACAAAAGATTATCAGAGATTTGTATGTATACCTGTATGTAAACAAACGTGAAAGTCTAAATCAAATGGTGAACTTTCTGACATCACATAGACTCCTTATGTTGAAACAAGAAATTGAGACCCTAAATAGACCAATAACAACCCAGGAACTCGATTATGTCATAAGAAAACTACCAAAAAAAACAAGCCCTGGACCAGATGTCTTTCCAGCAGAAGTCTACAAAACATACAAGGAGGAACTGATACCAATCCTATTAAAAGTATTCCAGGCAATTGAGAAAGATGGAATTCTCTCCAAGTCATATTGATACCCAAAGCTGGTAAAGATCCAACACACAGAACTACAGGCCAATATCCTTGATGAATGTAGATTCTAAAATTCTCAAAAAGATTCTAGGAAACTAGATCCAGCAATACATCTCAAAAATCATCCACCATGATCAAGTAGGTTTCATCCCTAGGATGCAGGGCTGTTTCAATATCCACAAGACCATAAATGTAAAAAATACATCAACAGATGCAAAAACAAAAGGCACATGATTATATCATTAGATGCAGAAAAAGCTTTTGATAAAATTTAGCACTCCTTAATAAAAACCCTCAAGCATCAAAGCATAATTGGAACATACCTCAAAATAGTAAAGCCATCTATGAGAAACCTACAGCCAGCCCTGCTATTCAGACAGAAATTGGAACCATTTCCCTAAAACCTGAATAAGACAAGGATGCCCACTCTCACCTGTCCTGTTCAACATAGTACTGGAAGTCCTAGCTAGAGTAGTCAGACAAGAGAAGGAAATAAGGGGTATCCAAATAGGAAAAGAGGAAATTAATTTATCTCTCTTTGCAAATGACATGATTGTATATCTCAAAAACCCAAGAGAATCAGTCAAAAACCTCCTTGCACTGATAAAGGACTTTGGCAAAGTCTCAGGGTATAAAATAAATGTGCAAAAGGTACATTTATTAATTGTTGATGCATTCCTATACACCAACAACTAAACAAAAAGAAACCCAAAGAAAAAACAATCCTATGCACAATAGCCACAAAAAAATGAAATACCTTGGCATCTTACTATCCAGAGATGAAAGAACTTTACAACAAAAACTACAAAACTGCTCAAGGAAACCAAAGATGACACAAACAAATGGAAAAATATTCCATGCTCATGGATTGGAAGAATCAACATTAAGATGTCCATCCTACCTAAGGCAATCTACAGATTTAATGCAGTACCCATTAAATTACCAGTGGCATTCTTCTCAGACCTGGGAACAACAATACAGGAATTCATATGGAAACATAAATGACCACAAATAGCCAAACAGTCTTCAGCAAAAAAAACCAAAAACCAAACCAAAACAAACCCCCCCCGAACAAAAAACAAACAAACAAACAAACAAAAAACAAAGTAGGAGGTATCACACTCCCAGACTTTAAACTTTATTATAAAGCTATAATAATCAAAACAGCCTGATATTGGTACAAGAACAGGCATATAGAACAATGGAACAGGATAGAGATTCCAGAAGCAAAACCTCATTTTTTCAACCAACTCATTTAATGAAGCTTCCACCATTAATCACTGGGAAGAGGAGAAACTATTCAGTAAATGGTGCTGGGAAAACAAGACCCCTACCTATCACCATACACAAAAATCAACTCTAAATGGATCAGAGACCTTAATGTAAAACCTCAAATTATAAGAACTTTAGAAAATGCAGGAGATATCCTTATGTAAATTGGAACTGCCAACCAATTCCTGATCAAACCCTAAGGGCCCATGCCATAAGAGATAAGATAGACTACTTGGGAGAGTGAAGCAGAAGGATCCCCAGAGTCCAGCAGGTCGATGCTGAGGTGGCCATGAGTGTGCCACTGCACTCTAGTCTAGGTGACAGAGTGAGACTCCACTTCAAAAAAAAAAAAAAGATAAGATAGACATATGGGACCTCATCAAACTGAAAGTCTTCTGCAAAGGCAAAGAAACCATCAAGAGAGTGGGGAGACAGCCCACAGACAAGGAATAAACCTTTGCCATGTGTATATCTGACAAAGGTCTAACATCTAGGATCTACAAGGAACTCAAATGTGCCGGAAAACAAAAACAAACAAAAAACAGCCCCATTTCAAAGTGGGCAAAAGATATGAGTAGAAACTTCTCAAAAGAAGGCATACGAGCAGCCAACAGATACATGAAAAAATGTTCAGCCTCACTAGTCATCAAAGAAGTACAAGTTAAAACCTCACTGAGATACCACCTAACTATGGTCAGGATGGCCGTGATCAGTAACTCAAAAAACAACAGATGCTGGAAAGGATGCAGGGAAAAGGGAACTCTTCTGCATTGTTGGTGGGAGTGTAAACTAGTACAACCTCTGTGGAAAAGAGTTTGGCAATTCCTAAAAGATTCAAAATTGACCTTCCATACGTCCCCACAATCCCACTACTGGGAATATACTCAGAGGAACTCAAGTCTCTCCATGAAAAGATACCTGCACACCCATGCTTATTGCAGCATTATTCACAATAGCAAAACATGGAACTGACGATGCTGCCCATCGAAAGAGGACTAGATAAAAAAATATGGTATGTCAACACAATGGAATATTACGCAACCATTAAGTAGGACAAAATTATGAACTTCGCAACAACTTGGATGGACTTAGAGATTATAATACTGAGTGATCTATCACAAAAACAAAGAACTAAGTACCACATGTTCTCACCCATAAGCGGACTTTGAACAATTATCATAGTACTATAAGAAAGGAATTGGCAGTCGTGGGAAACTGCCAGGGGAGAGGGAGGTCACACCTCATCAACAAGGATACCTGCATAGTGAACATGTGTATACCTAACCCTGAATTGTACCCTACAGCTTTAAATTTAAAAATAAAAAATAAAAAATATATAGAGTTCATATTATTACATGACAACAATTTGGAACCATTTAAATTTGATACTCCATAGTTCAGGTCCTTACATATAATAGATATTCAGTAAATATTTACTGAACAAAAATGAATAAATCATGTATTAATTATTATTTTTTGTGGCTTTTTAAGTGGGCGGTTAGATATTAACATATTCATACACATTTATGATTTAATAAATATAATTATTTTTATAAATTAAACCTGTACAAATTAAGATAATAGAAAATAATTTCAAATCAGTCTCTGTATATTTATACCTGACTTTACGAAACAGTAGAAACACCTCTTGCTACTTTTCAGATAATTGTTTGGGACATTTTTGGATTAAGTAAATTTAAATAGGATTTTCTGTTACAGGACTTCTCAAGACCTTTATTATAAAAATCCACTTTTAAAAAATGGGGCATAATATGCAATATTTTCCAAATATATTTGTCCATAGAAGTATATTTAGATTAAATATGTAACAGAGTTAGCAAATCAAGAGACACCTTTTGGAAATTTTTTCACTTTTTTATTTTGCAGACAATTTGGGACATTTATTTACTATTTCCGTATACTCTATTTTGAATTCCAGTAAGAAAAATCAACCAAGAGTATTATTTTTGGTATCTGGAATTGAATTTACCAGTGAAGCAAGCACAGCAACCTCAGTAAAGTCTTTGTCTTTGTAAACATCTTACCCCTTGGCAGTTCTCTAGAGTTCAGACTTGGCAGCATCAAGGACACAACGCAAGGTGTGTTTATTTGATTTAATATTTGGCAAAAGGTGCTTTGGTTTGCAGTTTGTTTTCTTTTACTTTGTTCCTTTTATTTTGGGTTATTTGCTTCTGGCAATGAATCTAGAACTCAAATACAGTTTTTTCTTGTGGAAGACAGTATTACAACGAGAAAGTGTTTTTACTTGTATTTATTTTGTGATATTTAGGCAAATCCAAGTAAATGAAACAAGATTTATAGAGCTATATATCTATATCTGATGTATTTGTTAAATTGTTTAGTATTATCAATTGTTTATTAAGATTTATTGCTGCATTAAATGTTTGGTTTCTCTTGATTATACTTTGACACATTATAATATTTTGGTGATTATATATTGGTTTTGGTTACTATTCCTGTATATATAGTAAGTAATGAATAGATTAAGATCATCATAAAATGTCACTTATTCAACATTATTTTTAATAATTTTGGTGACTTGATATGTCCATGTTTCTCATATGTTTTGGAGAGAGGAAAAAATGGCATAAATGGAAGAATTTGGACCCCCTTATATCTCTGACCTCTTCTTTTACTGTCCTTTCCCACTTGTCATTCTACTCAGAGATCTTCAATAGCTCTCCATTTTGCTTAAGATAAAAGCTAAATAAATCCTAAACTGGCTTATATGTCTTTATAAAACCTGACTCTTCATTAACCCTCTAATTTCATCTGTAACTCCTCTCATTCATACTCACTTGGTTTAGGCACAGGCTCTCTTGTTCTTTGAACATGGCAGGCATTTTCTCATCTTGCAATTTTCACTTGCTATTCTTCCTACTGAACTGCTCTTCCCCAAGATATCTTCATAGCCAATTTCCTTTCTTTTGGGTCACCTTCCAAATGAAGTCTTACCTGGCCTTTTATCAACACTTTATATTATCTTTCTGATCTATAGCATTTATTACTATCTAACACACTATATATTTTCTACTTATTTGTCTTGCTTTTTGTCATTATCCCTCACAAAAATATAATACATATGAAGGAAGGAATTTTTGCTCTGTCTCTAGTAAGTAGAATAACCCTGGGCCCTTGATGAGTGAATGTATGAATGAATAGTTCAGGAAACATTTTTAAAGCATTTACTATAAGCTAGGTACTGTGCTACGTGGTGAAAATACAGGGTTAAAGTACATAGTTTCTGCCTTCAGAAGTACAGTTTAATAAGGGAAACATAATTAAACAGTTGTTTAAGTGTTATAATAAGAATATGACTAGAATGATGTCATCACCTAGAGAAGCATCATTTAAATCAGACTATGTTGGACTCCTGAAAGACTTCCTGCATAAAGTAATCCTCTGTGTCAGTCAGACTAGTCTAACATGCTGTAGGAACAAACAGGCTCAAATTTCAAGCCCCATTTCAGTATATTAAAACAATATATGCAGTCTACATGCCCAAAATGGGTTGGTAGGAAAGCATAGGACCAGAAATGCTGGAGGCTTTATCTGGAGGTAGTGGGAAGGGAAGGTGGTTCATTGTACATTGCCATTTAGAATTTCATTGGTCAGAGTAAATTACTGAATTTCAAATGGGGAACTATGAAGTGCAATATTGTTTTCTACCCGGAGGGAAAGGAAAATTGTAAGATTAATGATTTAAAGGTGAAGTATAATATATCCAAGTAAAGAATTTAAAAGCATTTTCAGAGAAAGGAAAAATATGGACAAAGATAGTAGGCTTTGTTGAATGATAACTTCAGGTAACAGTCTGTAATTCAAATCAGTTGGAGCACAGTGTCACAGTGTGTGTAGAATAAAGATAGATAAAGGACATAGGGAAATATTGAATTATGTAATATACTTTAGGGGAATTTTTTGATTAAATTTAAATTGTGAGAGATTATTACAGAAGTAGTATGGGAATGGATTTGAGCAGAGGAAGACAAAATAGTGAGAAGACCAATTAATACTAATGCAGTCGTGCAGGTGAGGGCCCAGATAGGCAATGACAGAGGAGATAGGAAGAGAATGAAATCTAAAAGGCAGGGCCATAGTATATGGGACTAGTTTCCTAAAGTACAGAGGAAGCCTTGGCTGGAGACAGGACATTTCCTGCACTGAGATCAAAGTACAGGTGCTGATACAGATAGTGTTTGTGTCTAAGGGTGTAGATTTGTGATGGCCTGTATTTTTTTTTTTTAAGCAATTGGGAAATAAGCTCATGTGCTCAGACTAAAATAAGGAAGATGGGGAATTGGGGAATTTGGAAATTTGAGGAGAGCTGTGCAAGTAGGAATGTCTACTTAATCAATGGGAGATAGGCAGATTTGGGCAGAGGGATTGCTGGATAGTATGTATTTATAAAAAACAGATTATACATTTTACTGCAAAAATTCCTTTAGGAGGTTCAGTTGCATTTTTCCTTACATTGTTTAGAATTTAGCAATAATTTTAAAATACATACCCTATAAGAATTTTGTATATGCTGTTTCTATTAGAGCGGCTCAGGTATAATCTAGCCCCTGACCAAGAATCTTGATTAATGTGGTAATAAAATCTCAATTTTATAACAGAGGAATATTTTCTAAAACTAGTGAAATAATTATCCTTTACTTTTATAAAATCATTTTTGTAATAGACTTTTAAAAAAGACTTTTTTAAGAGCAGTTTTAGGTTCACAGTTAATTGAGAGGAAAATACAGATATTTTCTGTATACTTCCTCCCTTGACATTAACATAGCCTTTGCCACTTTTGACATCCCCTACAAGGTTAGTACATTTGTTATAATTGATGAATCTACAATGATTTCACCCAAAGTTATCACCCAAAGTTCATATTTTACATTAGGGTTCACTGTTGGTATTGTACATTTTATGGGTTTGGATAAATGTATAATGACATTATACATTTAATATAATTATAGTATCATCCTGAGTATTTTCACTACCCTAAACATCTTTTGTGTTCTTTCTATTTATTCTTCCCCTGCCTCCCAAACCCTGGCATCACAATATTTTTTTGTTGTCCATAGTTTTACCTTTTCTAGAATGTCATATAGTTGGGTTCATAAAGTTTGTAGTTTCTTCAGACTGGCATTTTCACTTAGTAACATGAATTTAAACTTCTACCATATTGTGTTTGAGGTTTGCAGGGTTATTTTGTTGTTAGCACTGACTAATATTTCCATTGTCTGGATGTACCATAGTTTATCCATTTACCTACCGAAGACAACTTAGTTGCTTCCAGGTTTGGGCAATTTGAACAAAGCTGCTATAAACATCCATGTGCAGGTTTTTCTGTAGACATAAGTTTTCACCTTCTTTGGGTAACTACTAAAGAGTATATATGGAAAGAGTATGCTTAGTTTTATAAGAAATTGCCAAACTGTCTCCCAAAGTGGCTGTACCATTTTGCATGCCCATAGCAATGAATGAGAGATCTTGTTGCTCTCTGTCTTCAGCAGCGTTTGATGTTGTTCGTATTATGGATTTGGACCATTCTAGTTGGTGTGTAATGGTATCTTGGTGGTATTTGCATCTTGCTGATAACATATGATGTAGAGCATCTTTTTATATGCTATTTTCTATCAATATATCTTGATATCTCCTATATTGGTTACTTCTTTTTATTTGTTGTCCTTGTTCTTTGTTCCAATTTTTATCTTTCATTCTTTTTCTATTTTTTTATGGAGCATTTTATATTATTTCATTTTTTTTCTCCATTCTTAACATATCAACAATTATACTTCTTGTTTTGCTTTTTTAATGGTTGACCTAGAATTTACATTGTACATTTATAACTAATTCAAGTCCCCTTCCAAATAACACTATACCACTTCATGAGTACTGTGTGTTTCTTCAAAAAAACACGGTAACATTAATTCTTCCTTTTCAGCTCTTGTATCACTGCTGTCATTTATTTCACACACACATAATCATATATAAGCATATATATTTAACATAATTTACATAAATAAGCTTAATAATTAAATACATTGTTGCTGTTTTTTGAACAAACTGTTAATTTGTTAGATCAATTAAGAATAAGAAAAATAAATTATTTTGCCTTTCCTTAGTCTTTCTTCAGTGTTCTTCCTTTACGCAGATACAAGTTTCTGACCTATATATTTCCTGTCTCTCGAAATAACTTTAATATTTTTTTGCAAAGCACAACTATTGGCAACAAATATCTTTAATTTTTGTTTTTCTGATAAAATATTTCTTTTTACTTTTGAAGGATAATTTTGCAAGGTACAGAATTCACATTGTTTTTTTCTCTTAACACTTTAAATATCTTACTCCACTCTCTTCTTACTTGCATTGTTTCTGAGAAGTCAGATGTAATTCTTATTTGTGTTTATCTCTTTCTGGATTTTTTCTTTATCCTTCATTATCTGTATTTTGAATGATATGCCTAGGTGTTGTTCTTTTGGCATTTATCCTGCTTGGTGTTCTTTGTGCTTCTTCGATCTGTAGTTTGATGTCTATATTAATTTAGGGAAATTATCAGTCATTATTGTTTCAAATATTTCTTCTGTTTCTTCTTCTTCTGATGTTCCCATTATGTATACGGTATACTTTTTATTGTTTGTTGTCCCACAATTCTTGGATATTCTGGGATTTGTTTTTGATTTTATTTTCATCTTTTTTTTCTCTTTGTTTTTTTAAATTTTGGAGGTTTCTATTGATTTACCTTTTCTTTTCTCAGCTAGTATTCTATCTACTAATAAGCTCATCAAAAGCTTTCTTCAATTCTATTAAAGTGTTTTTGATTTTCAGTATTTCTTTTGTTTTTTTTCATAGAATTCTCATTTCTTTGTTTACATTGCTCATCTGTTCTTGTGTGTTGTCTGCTTTATTTATTAGAACCCTTAGCATATTAATCATACTTGTTTTAAATTCCCATTCTGATAATTCCAACATTCCTGTCATGTCTGGATATGATGCTTGCTTGTCTCTTCAAATTGTGTTATTATTATTATTTTGCTTGTTAGTATGCCTTGTAATTTTTTAATAGTCAAGGAAAAATTAT